AATAATGTTCTTTATTTTTTTGTATCCTTTGCACTTTCTTAGCATGCTGTGTCCTAAGCTATTTAAAGCCAATAATCTTTATTTGCTTAAAGATCATATTTTTAAATGACTCTTTTGAATTGGTGATTCAGGATTCTTAGGGTATAATCCCAGCAGTGGAACCACTGTATGGAAAGGCAGTTCCATCTTTAGCTTCCTGAAGAAATTCCGTACTGTTTTCCACAGTGGCTGCACCAGTCTGCACTGTGGTCTGTCCACCACAGTGCACTAGGGTTGTGATACATTTACACAATGGAATATTACACAGCAGAAAGAAAGAAGGAACTCTTTGCGACAGCATGGATGGAACTAGAGAACATTATGCTAAGTGAATAAGCCACACAGTGAAAGACAAATACCATATGATCTCACCTATAAGTAGAACCTAATCAACAAAACAAAACCATGAGTGGAATAAAACTGGAGACTTGGAAATAAAAGCAAACTCACAGTGACCAGAGGGGATGGGGGGAGGGGGGTCAGGAGGAAGGGGAAGGGGCAAGCAAAGGGACACAAATAGAGGACTCACGAGCACAGACAATGGGAGGGATTGACTGTGGAAGTGGGAGGGGATGGGGTTGGGATGAGCAATAGGGAAAAAGGCAGACAACTGTAACTGAACAAAAGTGTAAAAAATGATTATATTTTAATTTAGCTAGAGATCAACCTGCCGAGAACCATGTGGTTTGATAGGGCCCTTCTTAATCTATGTTTAATTGATGGGGTCTGTTAGTTCTCCTCAGAGTTTTATTTTAACATTATATTAATCTATAACATTTCATCAAGGTTCTTTGTTGTTGATGATATTTTGTTCTGGGATGAAGCCTTCTTTCACTGATTGTACTTGAAAAGTTTAAGTGCCACAGTGGAATGACAGATTTTCATTACAAGTGTGTAACAGTCTCTTACCACAAGGAACTCAAAATCTCAATGCATTGTGAGTTTGCATGCCAAGTCAGCAAAGTGCCCAAACTGTACTTAAACATGCGCACAAACTTTCTGGAAACAATCTTCAGAACTGTGTAAATAAGCAACTGGGAGGGCTTTGCTGCTTCCATAGAATAGTCGCTATGGAATTCACTCCCCTAAAAGGGATGTCCTCAGACTCTCCACAACTAATTGGTAACCAGGGAAGAATCTCAAAGGGGGAGCAGCTGGATCATGTGGGCCTAACTCTTGTCCCAAGGACAAGCGTGGCCCTGCAGAATTAGAGCTGGGTCCTTCTGAGGAAGCCAGGGCTTCCCCGGCTGTAGTGGCAGTAAGGGGCCCCGAGAGACCATGGAGAGGGAGCATTTAGAGGTGGAGATTGAGACAGGCCATGAGCATAGCTGTCCTGGGTTGGGCCACATTTGACTGCTTTTTATTAAAGGATGAGAATGGGTTTCCTCTGGTCATTATTTAGAGGGTTAAGAAATTAGAAGACTTGGATTTAGAAAACAGTCTTGGGGAAATTATTTAAATTCCCTGTGTCTTAGTTTCCCTGTGAGCAAGTGGAAATTTTAAGGCCTGGATTCTTCCATTCACAAAGGGGCAGATGTTAAAAAGGGAAAGGATTTTAAACTTTTATATGGGAAATGCATGTACAAAGTATTAACAGGCAGCAAAATATACCGCTAAGCACACTGAAGATTACGATGCATGGTTGATATTTTTTGGTTCTTATGGTGATCAACCATGTTTTTAATGACACGAACCCTAGGTATCAACACTTACTTCCAAGCCAGGAGAAGAAGCCCCAGGGAAGATAAGTGTTGCCATTTGCTGGCTGTCCCCAAAAATTCCCAGACAGCAGCTTGTTTCCTTTCCCTTTTCATGAATGATAGTAGTGTTATGCTCCCATCTCCATTTTCTCCCAAAGCCATTCATAAAAAAAACAAAACAAAACAAAATAACAACAACAAAAAAACTTTCTTGGCACAGTCTGGAGCCAGTGGGTGCCAGAGACTGGGGAAACACGCCATCACCCCAGCCAGCACTGAAAGTACTCAAGGGTCTGTTTGTTTGGTGGTCCGAAAAGTATGACGTGCTGTGTGGAAGGGAGGGCGGCTGGTAGGAGTTCTGTGACATGGACTCGGCCCGGAGCCAGGGCTGGGAGCGGTTCAGACATTGTCTTTCCCTTCATTGAAGTGTCAGGACCTCATTCATGGAAAATTGGGCAAGCTGGCAGCCCTTGCAGAGGATTTCATTGAGCCCCACAGTGTGCAGGCAGGAGTCACATGACTGCAGGACGCACAGCCAAAAAGGGAAGGGGCTTCTGAGCAGCAGGAACCAGTCAGCTGGCAAGAATGTGTGCGGATTTGAAAGAGTTTACTAGTGAACGAGCAGGTGTAATTGGCAGGAAAAAAAGAAAGAAGGAAGAGTGGCCTGTTCTGACAAAGGACTCTTTTAAAGTGAACACTTTCCTCTTAGCACACACCTTTGAGTCTGAAAAGGCAAGAAGTCCTCATCATCCTTGATTTGATTCCTCCTGCAGAAAACATCCTCTCAGATCTTAGGCATTTATGATGTCATTTCTACTATGATTTAAAGGCACTGGGAAGAATATATATATATATTTTTTGGTGAACAAAAGCATTTTCCATTTATTTTATTTTTAGTTTGTTCGCCTAAAAAAATTCTGGTGATTTTATATCTTTAATACAGCAACAATAAAACACTGCCCATCACAGAAATTCTAAGAGAAAGAAAAATGAAGAGGAACTCTACCCTTTGCATGACATAGTGAATTTATTCTGACTTCTGTTACTTGAAAGAACTGTGGCAATTTTATTTTATATTTTTCATTTGAAACATGAAAGCATTTCCCTGTCTGCATCCAAGTGGCTCAGTTATATATCCAAATTTTAATGGTGTGTAGGTAGAGTAAATAAGGCTTATAATATTCGGGCATGAGCGTGAGTCCTGGAAGTAATACATCAAAAAGCTTGGGCTTCAGATCTACCTTTTACAATACAGAGAATAACTTAAATATTTTTCTAATGCTCCTATACTTGGAAATTTTAGGCTGGGTAGAAAATTTCCCTCAGATGCTTTACTTAAAAGTGGAAAGTTTCACCCTACATATACAATTAAATAGATATAAATAAGTATAGATATAGATAAATAAGATATTGGCATAGGTGATATCTGCAAATGATACCATCAAGAAAGTGAACAAACCCACACACAGAATGAAAGAAAATATTTGCAAATCATATTCTAATGAGATTTGTAGCCAGGACTTTTAAAGAATTCTTAACAACTCAATATGAAAAGACAAATTTTAAAATGGGCAGAAGATTTGAATAGATACTTCTTTAAAGAAGGCATACAAATGACCGATATGCACATGAAAAAATGCTCAACATGATTAGCCAGAGAAATTCAAATCAGAGCAACAATGAGATTCAACTTTATACCCAGTAGAATATTTAAAAGGCAGACAGTAACAAGTTTTAGAGAAACTGGAACCCTTATATATTGCTGGTAGGAATTTAAAATGGTTCAGCTGCTTTGGAAAACTGGCAACTCCTCAAAAAGTAACATAGTTAGCTGTGTGACCCAGAAATTCCACATATATTGTAGTTTTTATATATATATCATATATGTGTACAGACATATATACACACATATACATACAAGGGGGACCTCCAAAAAACAATTTACTTATAAAAAAATGTGTATTTATTCTTCCATGTTTAAACTTCGGTCACTATCCAAGTACCCTCTACTTGTTGCAATAACCCTATTGAGACATTTTTTCCACTGCTCAAAACAGTTTTTGAATTCATCGATTTTGATGCCTTTTAGTACTTTTGCCATTTTTTCCCGCTTCTTCCACATCAGCAAAACATTTCTCTTTAAAGACTTTTACATCTGGGGAAACAAAAAAAGTAGCTCTGAGAGATGGGGTGAATAGGGAGGGTGGGGCACAAGGGTCATGCCATGTTTGGTCAAAAACTGCTGAACACTCAGCACAGTGTGGGCAGGTGTGCTCATAAATCACCTGTTATGAAATGAGCAAACATTTTGAGTCTTCAAAAACAATTCACCAAAGCCAAACACAGCCAACCTGCAATGTTGCAGATCTATCCATTGCAAGCTGATACAAATGGGTTCCTAGAATACTCACCTAACTGGAGAAGCCTATACTTCAAGGGGCCTGCCCTCCAGAAGATAATTCCAGTTTTGGGGGGATCCCCCTCATTCATATATATATATGAAATGAAAACATACCTACATTAAAACTTACATATACATGTGCTCATAGTATATCCACACAGTGAAGTAGTATTTAGCAGTAAAAGGGAATGAACTGCCGATACACCCTGCAACATGGACGATCCCAGAAAACACTGGGCTAAGTGAAAGACACTGGGTCACAAAACTGCATATTTCATGGTTCCATCTACACGAAGTGTCCAGAATAGGCAAATTTATAGAGAAAGAAAGTAGATTAGTGGTGAATTAGGTATGAGAGGGTACTAGGGAGGCAAAAAAAATGGGGAATGGGTATCGGCTTTCTCTGAAAAGAGGTGAGTATATTCTAAAAGTGTGATGATTGTACAGTCCTCTGAATATACTATAAACCTTTTAATTACATAGTGTATGCAGGTGAGTTTTATGGTATGTGAATTATATCTCAATAAAGCCCTTAAAAAGGAAAATATTAACTAATTAGGTCCATTCCTTCCTCAAGTTTTATGGTATTCAAACAAAAAAAAAGTGAATTAAATAAGTTTATTTTGATGTAGCTGGTATGGATGCCAGACTTCAGTTGGGAATTGTTTTAATAGAGACAACCTGCATTTTATTTCCTTAACACATAGAGATCCTGAGTAAATAAACCATTTGAACCTTGAATTTTTCATCTTATTTTCAGACACATGTCTATATTTAAAATGTGTATACTTAATTTTTTCATTATTTATGTTTTCTCTTAAACTATAACAGTTCTTTTTTTTTTCTTTCTTTTCTTTCAGCCACAACAAGTTGTTCAGAAGAAGCCTGCTCAGGTAAGAGAGGGTCATGATGACTATTTTCTTCCTAATTAATATGAAAAGTAAAGTGGAAAAAAAGCAAATTAAACCTTTAATTAGTGTTTTTCTCATTTTGATTATATCAGCATTAAAGGATTCTTGACAATTTATTATATCCTTCAGAAAAAACCAGAAATGCACAGTCAGAGATTGTCATTAAAAACCCTAAAAGATTAAAACCTTTGCTGAAGTGCACAAAGAAAATATTAAAGTTTAAAAGGTAAAAAGTTTATTCCAGTGCCTTGTGTAGGAAACACATGTCTAATGTTATCATGTGTTTCACCAATTCTGAAGCCTCAGGCTTTTCCCTTCCCACCCAGCAATCCATATTTCACTGACTTGACATGGGACTTATTAGCTGCAAAATATTTCATGATCCATGACTGGAAACATATCTCTTCATTGAATTATTTCATAACATGAGATGATTCCAAACTACCCCCAGGGAAGTCTGGGAAATGGGGAAATTAAGTTACACTGGTGTTGCAGATTGATGAGCTCTCGGGCCTTGTTCCAGTGACTGAGCCAGTCCCTGCAGCCTTCAGGTACATCAGTATTGGCATCAGCTGCCCTTCTCTTGTCCCACATGACAGGAAGTCCTTGTCCAGACTGTAATCTGTGCATAGAAACGTAAGAATCATACTTATTAAGGAAGTATATCTTGAAGAAAGCAAGACTGAAGGATAAATTGACATGATTGCCAAGTATGAGAGTTGTTATTAAAGTATCAGAGTGTCCCACTTGCTCTCCCCTTCTGGGCTTAAGGAGGAGGTCAGGAGACCTAGGTGTGCCGTGCAGAACTGGCTGAAGTAAGTTAGTAAGCAGTGTTGTGGACTACCAAGTTCTTTGCAGGTCTCTTTCATATAATTTAAAATATCTCTGGGCTCTTTTCCCTAGAGATCCCAGACACTGTACCCTGCACCCTGTTCTCTTGGGGCAGCGTTACCTTGCCTGGGAGAGATCACCCACACGATTTTATGTGTTTACTGTTGGGGTTTTTTTTATGCTGCTTGGAAGAGAATTGAAGCTTCTAAACATGTGTGAGCATACAGGAAATATGTATCCAAATAATAACACATGTGCTTTCAGTAGAATAAAAGCAGAGTTAGTGTGGAAAAAATCATTCTCATCCTACCTCCATACCTAAAAGCTGTGAGTGGTAGGGGGCACTAAAAATAAATACCCAGCGTTTCAACGTTTATATACAATACTAAACAAAATTAAATATAAAAAATTAACATTATAAGTAGGACAACCCAAATATATTGAGCCTCTCACCCTTCAGTAAAAAAATCAAGAGAAAGTGAGTTTGTAATTCTGTTTCTTTGAGTGGAAGATACTACAGAGTTCACGGTTGAGTCCCAGGCTGTGAAGGATAAGTTAGTAGTAACATCATGTGGTCTGTTAGCAATGCTGATTCAGTCCCTATTCTTGGTGTTGCAGGGAAGATGAGGCAAACAAACGCATAGTCCAAGAAATATGTAATCTAATTTAGGAGTTCTTAGCATTGGCTGCATATTAAAATAACCTAGTGATCACACAGACACAGTAGTTACCCCTTAGCTGTGGGGTCCATAACAAGACCCCCAGTGAGCACCTGAAACTGCTATGGTGTTGAACCCTATATATCTAATTGTACTGTGTTTCCTCATACATGCATATCCGTAATAAAGTTTTAATGTATTGGGCACACTAAGAGATTAATAATGATGAATGAAATAATTTATTATAATAGAAATTCTGTGTATGTGTTCTTGGTCGATCTCTGCTAACCATCGGATAGGCAAGGCAGCTGCTAAGTCAGTAAAGGGGGTGTAAGATGTTCTGGACAAAGGGATGATTCAAGTCCCGGGCGGACAGAGTAGGACAGCTCAAGATTTCCTCACGTTGTTCAGAACAGTGCACTACTTTAAACTTACTGTTTAGCTCTGAAATCTTCCATTTAACATATTTGGGCCAAAGCTGACTGCAGGTAAATGAAACCTCAGAAAGCAAATTCACAGATAAGGGAAACTGTGTATATGGGTGTGTGTGTATGTGAGACCACTTGTATTTAAATGGCTGTTACAAATATCACCGTGTATGTGCCATATACATTTATCTATCACCGTACACATGGCATATATATCCCACATACATACATACCCAGTCACTGGTGTGTGGCACGTGCTGGAGCTAGCCCTTGTGAACCCATTGTATCTCCTCCATATTCTACCTTCAGTGATGTCAAGTAGATAGCTTGAAATCAACTACCCTGGAAATATTTATACCATGGACATTGACCACATACTACAGATCAGGACTTTCTTTTTCCTGGAGAGCAGTTTGTTAAACATTTACCTACACACCAAGGGCCCCACCCTTCCAGGATTCTGATTCTCTGGTCTGGAGCCTCCGGCATCAGTATTTTTTATGACCTCCCCAAGTGGTTCTACTGGGCAGCCAGGGGTGAAGATACTCAGCGAGCACATATGAGAAGAGGTTTGAAACACAGAATGTCAACGTGTAGGAGATATTATAGGGGACGCAAAATGCCACAAGGGGGTCACTAAGGGGACCATTCCTGGAAGAGTTTTGATTGTTCTGTTGTTGTTTAGCCGTAAAAGGGAAAATAAAGACAAATCAAGGGAAAGAAAGGACAACCTTACAGAGGAGATGAACGACATGTCCAGAAGTAGAGAGGCAGAAACAAGTAAATCACCGGCGGAGACCGACTGCAGTTTGGGCAGTAATACACCACGAAATGCTATAAGCGGAATCACACGTTGCCTCCCAAGGCAATCAGAAATATCAAAGGAGCCCCAGAAGGACTGGGCCAGTCTTCACTGATCAATCCGGCTGTGCCGCTGACCCTGCTCCAGATTTGCCTTTGAAAAGAGTTCAGACCCAGAAGCAGAAGAAAGAGCTCATTGGGCTTCTTAATCTATATTGCCTAAGGACGCAGCGATGAATTATATAAACACAGGGACTACATGGAAGTTCCTGGAGGATAATGTAAATGTTATACTACGTTCAAAAGAATCTCTTCCTTTTTCATCTGTTTCTTTCAAAATACCCTCCCGGTTGGCTTTCCCCTGCGGCAGTCTGGAATGTCTCAGGTCCATGTTCTTTCTTCATCAGCAGTGCTTTGAGGGGTTACATTTAGATTTTGTTTGGGGGCGGTGAAGATTTTAGCACAAGTTAGTATTATATATCTAGAGAAAAGCACTCAGTGAAGTATACTCAGACCTAGGTTTTGCATTCTAGTCCCATCACTGGGCCAGTTAATGTCTCTGTACCCTTTATCTACTTATGAAATGGGATAATACGACACATCTTCCCTTCTCTCAAGAGCATTTTGAGAGACTCATAATTATATCAGTTCCAGGGAGTGTTATGTTCTGACTTATTTTTGGATGCTAGGTTTTTCGTTTCCCAAAATTCCAATTAGTTTAAAATTACCATCCGTTTTACTGCAAGTGTTCTTATTGCTTCTCTTTAAAATAAGGATGTTTAACTAAGGGGGAAATTTTATAGTAATTGCTACATCCTATCATTAGAACTAAAGCAGTCAGAATCACTTTCCCTGTAGGTCACATGTATCTAGAATTACAATGGCTCTATTGTGAAGTCTCATAAGTCCATCAAATTCTGAAACCTTCTCTGAACTTCAAGAATGCCACTTCTTCTTTAAAATATTTTATTCATTTATTTTTAGAGAGAGTGGAAGGGAGGGAGAAAGAAAGGGAGAAGGGGCATCAGTGTGTGGTTGCCTCTCACGCGCCCTCTCCTGGGGACCTGGCCTGCAGCCCAGGCATGTGTCCTGACTCAGAATTGAATTAGTGACCCTTTGGTTCACAGGCTGGTGCTCAATCCACTGAGCCACCCCAGCCAGGGCGAGAACACCATTTCTTGAAACTGGGATACAAAGTGACAGAATTCACTCTGAGAGACAAATTCAGGATTATGACAAATCTCAAAGTTTAGATATGCATTTGAGTTTGTGTATATAAATGCACGTGTCCAAGAAAGAATAAGTTTAAGGGAACCCCCGCTGGGGTGGGGTGCCTGGAGAATCCACAGGTGCCATCAGCTGTAAACCTCCTGTGTGTCTAATCATCCGAATGGGAAGGTTCCAGTCTCATAAATTTAAAGAGGAAAATTTTCAGTACTTACATTAACTTTTTAAAAAATTCCAAAACCAGTGAAAGCAAAGCCTTACCAGGGATCACTACTGTATTTTTATTTAAAGTGATAAAATAAGCAACAAATTAAAGTGAGCTAGTTTCCTAGATGTCTCACAATTTGAACCCATTGAGTTCTCAGCCCCATGGCTTACATTCTTAACTTTAGTAGGGAAATTGTGGTAGGTTTTGCTCTTGTCATCATTGTTTTATTTCTAAGAACACCAGAAAAGTACCAGGTTATTGTCATTGATTGGAGGGGAGGGGCGTGGCTTTGTTTCTCAAGTTTCTGTTTTGAAAAGAATTACATCTCACTGCGTTGCAGACTTCTATCAAGGTTTTTTGGGTTTATCAGATATCTTATTGTTTCTTGATTTTTAAGCTGAGATTGGAAGCAAGTACTTCTATATAATTCAGACTTTTTTTTTTCTCACCAGAGCCCCACCCAAAGGGTAAAAACACGTTTTTAAAATCCCAACAGTTAGCCCTCCTTTCCACCCAATTCCCTCATTGTTGCACAGCCCTGGCAAAGCCACACCCTGCTAGCAACTGAGACAGGTAGGAACCCAGTCCTTTTCAGGTTTCCCAGTGATAGAAGTGGCAGGTTTTCAGATTCTGCAAGACTGGAAACAAAGCTCTCTGTTTCGAAATAGAGTTTTTACCTGCGAGTAACATCTCCTGCAGGTGCTGTGCATCGGGGTGGAGAAATCTCAGTGAGCCTTGGTTATCGGGATTTTTTTTCTCCCCTGCAAAAAAAAAAAAAACTCAAATGTTTTTACAGAGACTTCAAGGGCAGTTTTAAGGATGTTTATA